TCAAATTACCTTTCAGAGGGTGTTTTCACCCTTAAAATTGCATTGCCGATATAAAAAAAATACGTGTCTATTATTTTTTACTACTCTACAAGTGTACTGAGTTTAAATAAAATCGGCGATTAACACAAAGGTAGGTTTGCTTGTGAGTAGAGAGTATATATTAGTATAATAATATCCCAGTAAACACAAAGTATCATCGATGTTAAAATGTCAGCTAAATCATATGATATGTTACATAACTGTTACTTTGTTATATAATAAAGCAACTGTCATGTAATATACCATATAATTTAGCTGACATTGTAACATCAATGATATTTTGTGTTTACTGAGATGGTATATTAGACTAATAGGGCGAGGTAAGAGGGAGATAGAAATAAAAAATTGGGGGACACAGGTAACAGGAGAGGGAACAAGAGAATGATTAGTAAAACAGAGAATATGATTAATACAAAAAGGAAGATAAACTTGGGAATTGCTGATATGAGTGGTAAGGAACTAACAATAAGAATAATGAAATAGTGAGAGAGTACGGTATAGAAGAACAGAGAAGAATAAAGGGTTAAAATTGGTACTAGAAAGGGATTTTGAAGGGTTTATAAAGGAAGAAGGAAGTAAGAATAAAGAAGGAGAGATAGAGAAGGAAATAAATGTTTGTTAAAAAAGTGAGCACGAAAGACGAATAAGTACAAAACAAGAACACAAAGAGGAATGTAAACATAAAGCAAAGAGCAGACAAATATAAAGTTATTGGTAAGGGAAAGTTAGAGGTAGAAAGTGTGATTGTAGATTGTAGAAACAGAAGAGATGGAAGGTGATTGGCTGGAAAGTGTAGATAAAAGCGAGTTAAACAAACAGGATTTAAGTTAATTGTAAATAAGGAACTAATGGAAACAAACAATGAAAAGGAAGAAGAATTAGAAGGAAAAGGAAGAATTTAGCAAAAGAGATGAATATCAAAGAAACGTTTATAGATCTTAACTTTTGTTAATTTAATAATTTTGAAATTTCCAAAGGTCGATAAGTTAACAAAAGTTAGGGCACTATTATAGTAATATGTTCTTGATAGTAAATAAAGTAAAAAAGTCTAATACTATTTTTTCTTTCGACGAATAGTTAGCGAGATATCGTAAGTTAAGTGTTGAAAAAGTTATCAAGTTTTCCTTAAATCTCAAAAAATATTAGGCAAATAAAAAAATGTTTCAGACAAAAGTTGTTCAAATTAGTTGGTAGAAAAAGATGATGTAATAAAAGATTGGGATTTCTACTTAGAGCCTAGAAAATTGATGATCAGTGAATATCTCAAAAGTGGCACCATCTATAAACAAAATTCTATCGCTGTCTTATGTCCCTCTTCAAGCCAAACAACTTTTGTCTGAAACATTTTTCGATTTAACGCAGTGTTTTTGAGATATTCGAGTGGGTCCTTTAAAATGGGACGCCCTGTAAGGGAGAATAAAAAGAGCTATGAGTGCAAGAAAGAGAGTAAACAGTTATTCAGACAGAATTAAAGGGATATGGAGGAGCATATCAGGAAAATCAGGGAAGGAAATATCAGAAAAGACGAAAAAGGAAAAGAAAGAAATGACAAATGAGATAAAGAGGAATGAAATGGAACGGGAAACGGAGGTAAGAAATAACCTTAAGGATAGAATATATTAGAAGATCTTTTAGAGAAATGGAACCATCCCCGTGGATAAAACAGAAGCTTAAAAATATAAAAAGTAGAAAAAAATAATAGAACAGAAATTTAAGGAAATGAGGCAAGATTAATAGTAACTAGGATAGAGACAAGTAAATCAGGTATAACAAGGAAACAATTAGATCAAAGAGAAAGAGATATTAAGATTAAGACTAACAAACGTAGATATATAAGCATAGCTAAAAAAGATAAAGAAAAAACGAATAGAAGGAAAAGAAAGAAACATAAGTCGAAGTAACATTATAAAATTTTAAGAGTATTAAAAACAAAGCAGTAGAATTAAGAAAACTGGAGAAAAATGAAAATATATATAAGAATAACAATAACAAATTTCAAAGCAGGTGATAAATTAATAAGATAACGAATGCTAGTTAAGGAAGAAAAGTAGGAATAGAGAGATGGAGGCGAAAATATAAGACGATAATATATTGCCTTACAATAGTACCTTAACTTTTGTTAACTTATCGACTTTTGGAAATTTCAAAATCATCTAATTAACAAAAGTCAGGGCGCTATTGTAACAATATATTCTTGAAACTAAATAGAGTAAAAAAATCTAGTACCATTTTTTCTTCCGACAAACAGCGAGATATAGTGAGATTAAATATTGAAAAAATTATCGAGTTTTCTTTAAATATCTCAAAAAATATTAGGCAAATAAAAAATGTTTCAGACAAAAGTTGTTAAAATTAATTCGTAGAAAAAGATGATATAAAAAATTGAGGTTTCCATTTAAGAATAGTAATGATCAATGAATATCTCGAAAGTAGCGCCATTTGTAATCAAAATAATATAATTGTTATATGTCCCTTTGGAACTATATAACTTTTATCTGAAACATTTTTCTCTAAAATGTCGCGTTTATAAAAAAATCAGATGGTACGGATGGTCTGTGATGGTCTGTGACCGTATATATTATTTGTTACAGCAAATTTTGCATAAAAAGAGAACATCTTCAACTATTAAATCGAAAATCTAAATTATCTTCAGTTAATTTAGCTAATACACGAGTTTGCAATAGCTTCATAGTTTAGTAAAGGCTTCCCGAGCCATTCGATTATTGGATGATAGAACCTCGGATTAGAACATGTTCCCTGGATTTTAGACGAAAACTAACGACGGCATCGTGTTCAGCGAATCAAAATCCTTTGGAAATGATATGTTTTGTTCCCTACGATGGGTTAAAATCGGCTCTTTTTACTCATTGTTCTTTAATTGTGACCATTTCGCAGTATTATACAGAGTGTCTCAGAACTTTGGGACACGGGCTCCGTAGGGATATAGAGCTAAGTGAGAGAAACAAAAAAGTCCTGTGCCACAATGTGAAAATCGTAATAGTTTTATAATTAAAACAGCGCAAAGTTTAATTATAACAGCGCAAAGTTTTCCACGCCCAGCGCGGCCTATAGACGCTCCGCGGCAAGCTATGTGCGTAGGGGCCGAGCGATAACGCGGCTCGCGCTGACCGTCACGCGGCGTCAAAGTGCCAAGACGTCATCGCGAAACACGTTATCGCTCACCCCTTACGCACACAGCTTGCCGTGGAGCGTCTATAGGCCGCGAAGGGCGTGGAAAACGTCAAACTTTACGCGGTTATTACTAAAAAAACTATTACGATTTTCACATTATGGTACAGGACTTTTTTGTTCTTCTCACTTAGCTCTATGTCCCTACGGAGCCCGTGTCCCAAAGTTCTGAGACACCTTATATATGGATGCATTTAGTATTCAATGCTCTTCAACCTTCGTCCTTACAAAAACTTAAAAATTTACAGAACGAGGAGAGAGGAAGACAGGCATTAAAAATTTTATATTTTTAAAAAATTGAAACAGATCGTTTCATAGAATATAAATTATACTATATCTTTTATATATAACGTTTTTTCATATATCTTGTAGTTTAGGAAATAATTACAAAGAATGAAAAAGTCTATTTTTTTCGAAAAATTGTTTCTATCTCTAAACATTGAGATATATCGCTAAAAAAAGAAAAAAAAAAAAAAAAACGGATCCAACCTTTTTTAATGTTCTACAATACATTCAAAATTCATCAAAATTGTTAGAAACTAGTTCCGACGGTTTCCTTATAAGATATGTTAAAAATAATTTATTAATATAGGGATATAAGATGAATTGGGACTATAAGAGAAAAAAAGAGAAATTTTAGAGAAACTATAAAATCTTTGTTTTCCAGATAAAAAAAAGTTAGTGTGTCATATAGTCAATAGTCAGGATGGTTCTATAAGCCCCAAACTAAAGAAAAGCTATTTTTGATAAAAATGTTTTAAGAGAATAAAATAATTTCCAAAATTGATGTTTTTAGTTTTTAAAAGTGACTTTGAAGATAAAGGAGGAAATAGAAGAAAAAATATTGTAAATTTCTTATTAATTTTTTACTACACGTCACTATAATATATATGCTTTTCTTTTATATTATGTATTAAAAACTAATTTTCCAAATGTAGAAATTATGCAATTATAGAATAGTCCTTTTGCTTATTTTAATAATGTTTAAGCAATATAGACGATGGTTGGGAAGGTTGGGAATGTTCTCATTTTTTGAGAATATGTCAACGAAACAAACCTGTGAACGTAAGAATTATTTTTGCACTACGCGTCCAAAGCGAAATGTCTACAGCGGAAGTGTTTTATGTCTAACTCAGCGATAGTGAAAAGACTAATATATACAACATAGTTTATTCCTATATAGTTTATTGTATTCCGGTCTATGAAAATATGGAGATTCTATTAAAAAAGAACATCTAAGACTTAATTAGATCTAATATCGATCGTAATTGCGTAATCCAACATCATAATTACTATAAATCTCTTGAATCACTACATAGCTTTCATCCAAAACATTCTTGTTATATGATGCTTTGCGATAAATCATATACAAAAAAATAGAGTGATTCAAATGAGTCATTCTGTATACTATTTATTATAAAAGTAACCAAATATATGTAGCAAGTCACAAGATATAAATAAAATAAAATAAAATAAAATACCGAGATACAATTTAGTTTTATCCCAATATTTTAAAAGAAAGCAAGAAAAGTATAAAATATTTAAAAAATTTATATATAGTAATTTAAATAAGCTATATTATACGAAAGAATTTTGAAAACTAATGTATACATACATACATACATACATATCTACATACATACGTACATATATACATACGTACACGCGCGCGCACACATACATACGCACGCACACGCACACACATGTATATACATGCATATATATATATATATACATACACACACACACACGTATATATATTTATATATTACCTTGTCTCTGCATATCCAATATATCTCTAACACTATGTCTCCATTTTCTTCCTTTACCAGCACATAATTTGTCTAAATCTGATCCAGGATTTATATTATTTAATATTGACAAAGATCTAGCCCAACATTTTCCCGATTTAAGAAACACAGTCTTTTGTATTTGCATATTTATATTATTGTGTTGTTGATTTGCGTCATCGAGAAATTTAGGATAGTCAAAAGATGAATTTATTGCATTTTTAGAATGCTCCAAATTATTTTCTATTGATAGAATACAAGAACAATCATCAGTTGCGATGTGATGGAATATCTCATTATCAAACAATGTAGATCTATTATTCAAGCTTTTTGATATATTTGATATACTCAAATGCCATTCAGAATATTGCATTCTTTTTGTAATTCTGATTGGATCTTGCAATTTTATAAGCAGCGCATGAACATCAACGCCGTCGATAGATAATTTATCTTGACTTTTACTGAGAGAATTATCTTTGTTATCAGCAGTTGCATTGCTAGATTTTCTGCAAATTAACTTCATAAGATTCATTTCTGTACTTTGCTTCTCTTGACCTTTATATTCTTGTTTTGTACATACAATGTTGTTTAAATCTTCAATTATTTCTTTAATCGAAGTGCGTATTTTAGGAGATGTTACATATCCCAAGCGACCTTTCTCTTCTTTTAAATTTGAATCAGTGGATAAATGTAATGAAGATACTATCTTTGAAATTGTCATAGGTTTTTTTTCTAGTACCTCTCGAATACATTTCTTTTCTGTATTACTTTCTATAATATGTTCTGTCGAATAATTACAGTTATGTATCGTGTCGTCAAATAATGATCGCGACTGATCAGTATCTGCAGATATGTTTAAAGAATGTGGAAATTCTGTTATTATATCGCTTTTTTCATTATATTTTTGCATAAGAGATGATTTATTTTCCTTGGAGAATATTATTTCGACTTTAACAGCAGGATCTACTAATTTTTGAGATGACGACAAAACTTCAGTTTGCTGTTCCAGCATATCTGAAATATTGTTTTTGTAGCACTCGGATGTAACCAATGAATGAATACCATTTTTTTGCTCGGTAAATATGATAGGAGTATTTTCCTTTATAATTGCTGAATTTTCATATCTCGAGTTTCGTGTCTCATGAATATTCTCGATAGGAGACAGTAGTATCAAATGAGCAGGTTTTACACATTTGCTGATCGGAGTACTGGAAACCATATATTCCTCTTTCTCATTCAACAACGTAACTTTTTCCTGGACAAATTTTCTTATTTTTAATCTCTCCATTTTTATAAAACGATCTTTTATTAAATATGCTTTGTTTCTTTTTCTATTAGATATCATGTTATCAGTATTAGTATTGCATGGAGAGACAATTTTAGACAAATTATGTCCAAAAGTTAAGTGCGAAGCATTTGTCTCCTCTATTTCATTGGTAAAGTCGTTTATATTTCTATTTTCTTCTTTGCATTTCTTAAAAACATTATCGCATAATACTACAGAAGATGGTTTAATCAGCATATGGTTCAAAGTTCCAGAGGCATTATGATCAATTGATATTAATTGTGAAGTTATGTTATGCACCTTAAAAGCATTTTTGATAGTCTGTAGAGGATTTGTATAGGAATACTTTATATTTTCTTTATTCCTCATAGTTTTCTCATGATTCGATATATACCAATTCTGGACTGCATGAGTATCTAACTTCACAAAACATGGTTTAATATTTTGGTAATAATTCATTGCATTTTTGGAAGTTGCAATAGAGTCATTAGTTTGATTCAATGAAGTTTGTGATATTGTAGCAGTACTTTTGTCGGTCTTTATAACACTTTGAGGCGAATGTTTATTGTTATCGTCACATGAAATATCCTTATATACAGCATTTTCTAAATCATTTGTAGCACCATGATAATATATACTTTCATTGCACTTACGACTAGACTTCCTTTGTTTATATTGTATGTTTTGTTTTTGCATATTATTTGTTTGTATTTTTCGTGTCTATTTTTAAATAATTAATAATAAACAATTGATAAGTTGGACTATATATATTATTATATACATACACAATATATATGTAAGATGTGGCCAAAAGTAAAGTTAACCAAGTAGAAGATAAAAGAGGAGTTTGAGTAGAATACATAGTGCATATAAATTTTTTAAATGGGTGTACAATAAATATTAAAACTTCTTAATATTTCGAAAAATACACATTTTCAAAACAAATATTCCATGCAAAAGTTATAACAAGGGTTTTAAGTAATGCATTATATAGTAAAGTTAATGACTTTAGATAGTATCGTTAAGGTCAAGTAAGGATTATCTTGAAATTTCTTAATTTTAAATCTTTACATGACCTTGACAACATTATCCACGATTATATTAATTTTACTACTCTATGTATAACTTATAAGATAAAGGTAGATTGAATAATTGTCTATCCTTCTCTAACTTATTATAGGATAGAAGTAAAATAGACAGGAACCAAACAATTTTATGGTTATCATCGAAAAATATATGTAACAGAGGTAGTTTACATACATTTATTAGAGGTTGCTTCGAAAAATATGTTCTCTGTAAATCTTATAAATAATCAATCTCAGGCTTTTCTTTTCCTGATCTGATATATATTGCTAAATTTTATTACATATAGCATTCTGTTTACTATTCAAAAATTTATTTAAAAAATGCTTTGAAGAACTTGGAATATTGGTTGAGATAAATATATGGAATAATAGCTATGAATACATCTAGAGCATTAGACTATTATCGCTACATAAAAAATATTTACTAAAAGTTTATGTAATCTGATATATTTTGTAGTAAGTAAATTTGAAACCTGACCTTTATATGTAAAATTTTATAACTTTTGTATGGAATATTTTTTTCAAAAATGCGTATTTTTCCAGATATTGAGAGGTTTCAACACTTTCTGTATACCCTAACAACACAGATGTCCAGAGGACGTCCAAAATACGTCTTAAGGATGTCCTAGGTTTCTTCATCCTTAGAACATCCATAGGACATCCCCAGATCATGTACTGTCTGGGAACTCATATAAAGTATTATATTTATTAAACTATAATAAACATAAAAGTTTAAATACATTATATATTCTATTCAAGTTCCTCTTTTATCTTCTAATTGGTTGATCTTATTCTTAGACATATTTTATGTGTGTATATATATGTTTATTATATAATAACATGTATAAGTACATACCTGTATTTTTTTTTTCTTTGAAGGTATCTCATTTTTTATTGATATTATTTTTGGCCTCTTACACAGCGTTTCTGAGCTAACCTTTACTTTATATTTTTGTGGCTTTTTGTACTTACGAATATATTTAACACTTTCATGTGTTAAATCAGATATATCATTGGATGTATACTGATTGCAAGTTATATGCCTAGATTTTACAAGATTTGTTACATTATTAGTATCACTGTCACTGCTGCTACTGTTCCATGAATCATTTTGATTTGCATTCAATGGTAAAGGAGGTACACTGCAATTGAATATAAATTAAAGATCATATATTATTAATAAGTACAAACTACAAAAAGCAATTTGTAAAATTTATTTTAAATTAATTTCAAAGAATGAAGTATATTTATTATAATTTTTCTTACACTGCTCCTTTAGCGATTCTGTCAAATGTAGTTTCAAATGGATCATGAGTTATGGAATCGTTAGAAATTTCATTGTCATTAAAATAATCATTCTTAATACTGTATTGTTGAGTCAATATGACAGTTGGTGTAGGTAAAATATCTATTAATGGTCCTTTTTTAATTTTTCTTTGATAAGTTCGAATTGGTTGTCTACGGTTAGTTATCATTTCTCACCTAAAAATAAAAATTCGTTTTTAACTTTAAAAATTAACTTCTCAAGTAGAACATAAAATTAATGGCACCAAATAACAAGAAAATGACTGTATCATGATAAAAAAAATGAATTTTCCTTTTAATGTCACTTTGATGTCATAATTTTCTGTTCTGCCTAGGTAATATTTTTGACGAAGTAAATTTTGATGGATTCAACAATTAATGAAATTATAAACTTTAGCCTATGTTGAGCTTATGTTGATTGGCCCTAAATTGACCAAAATTCGAATTAAAAACGCTATTAATCGATGAATCACATATGCAAAAAATTAATAAAATTAGAATCATTTCAAATTTACTTACTACAAAATATATCAGATTACATAAAACTTTAGTAAATATTTTTTATGTAACGATAATAGTCTAATGCTTTAGACGTATTTATATAGCTATTTCTACATATATTTATACCAACCAATATTGCAACTTCTTCCAAGTTTCTAGATTTTTGAATAGCAAACGGAATGCTATGTGTAACGGAATTTAACAACATATATCAGTTCAGTTCAGTTCGGTATATGGCTTTAGGTAGAAGGGTGTACTCATACGCCATTCTCCTGAACATATATCAGATCAGAGAAAGAAAAGCTTGAGAGTGATCATTCATAAGATTTGTAAAAGATATATTGTTTGAAGCGTCCTCTAACAAACGTATGTAAACTACCTCCGTTACATATATATTTTTCGATGGTAACAATAAAATCGCTTAATTCCTGTTTGTTCTACTTCCATCCTATGATAATTTAAAAAAAGATAAATAATTATTTGGTAATTATTTACAAGACGGGCCTCACTTTGGATTTCGCTCAAACTCACCTATCTTGTGTATTTTGACGTGTAGAAGCCGAATCTGCAAGTAAAAATGATCGCTCGGCCCTAGTTTGCGAGAAATAAATAGTTAAAAAGTGACACATGCGAGGTTAGGAAATCTGTCATGTCGGTAAGACAGAGACTTACACTTCACGTCAAAATACACAAGATAAGTGAGTTTGAGCGAAATCCAAGCTGAGGCCCGTCTTGTAAATAATTACCAAATAATTATTCACTCTCAAGCTTTTCTTTCTCTGATCTGATATATGTTCAGGAGAATGGCGTATGAGTACACCCTTCTACCTAAAGCCATATACCGAACTGAACTGAACTGATATATGTTGTTAAATTCCGTTACACATAGCATTCCGTTTGCTATTCAAAAATCTAGAAACTTGGAAGAAGTTGCAATATTGGTTGGTATAAATATATGTAGAAATAGCTATATAAATACGTCTAAAGCATTAGACTATTATCGTTACATAAAAAATATTTACTAAAGTTTTATGTAATCTGATATATTTTGTAGTAAGTAAATTTGAAATGATTCTAATTTTATTAATTTTTTGCATATGTGATTCATCGATTAATAGCGTTTTTAATTCGAATTTTGGTCAATTTAGGGCCAATCAACATAAGCTCAACATAGGCTAAAGTTTATAATTTCATTAATTGTTGAATCCATCAAAATTTACTTCGTCAAAAATATTACCTAGGCAGAACAGAAAATTATGACATCAAAGTGACATTAAAAGGAAAATTCATTTTTTTTATCATGATACAGTCATTTTCTTGTTATTTGGTGCCATTAATTTTATGTTCTACTTGAGAAGTTAATTTTTAAAGTTAAAAACGAATTTTTATTTTTAGGTGAGAAATGATAACTAACCGTAGACAACCAATTCGAACTTATCAAAGAAAAATTAAAAAAGGACCATTAATAGATATTTTACCTACACCAACTGTCATATTGACTCAACAATACAGTATTAAGAATGATTATTTTAATGACAATGAAATTTCTAACGATTCCATAACTCATGATCCATTTGAAACTACATTTGACAGAATCGCTAAAGGAGCAGTGTAAGAAAAATTATAATAAATATACTTCATTCTTTGAAATTAATTTAAAATAAATTTTACAAATTGCTTTTTGTAGTTTGTACTTATTAATAATATATGATCTTTAATTTATATTCAATTGCAGTGTACCTCCTTTACCATTGAATGCAAATCAAAATGATTCATGGAACAGTAGCAGCAGTGACAGTGATACTAATAATGTAACAAATCTTGTAAAATCTAGGCATATAACTTGCAATCAGTATACATCCAATGATATATCTGATTTAACACATGAAAGTGTTAAATATATTCGTAAGTACAAAAAGCCACAAAAATATAAAGTAAAGGTTAGCTCAGAAACGCTGTGTAAGAGGCCAAAAATAATATCAATAAAAAATGAGATACCTTCAAAGAAAAAAAAAATACAGGTATGTACTTATACATGTTATTATATAATAAACATATATATACACACATAAAATATGTCTAAGAATAAGATCAACCAATTAGAAGATAAAAGAGGAACTTGAATAGAATATATAATGTATTTAAACTTTTATGTTTATTATAGTTTAATAAATATAATACTTTATATGAGTTCCCAGACAGTACATGATCTGGGGATGTCCTATGGATGTTCTAAGGATGAAGAAACCTAGGACATCCTTAAGACGTATTTTGGACGTCCTCTGGACATCTGTGTTGTTAGGGTATACAGAAAGTGTTGAAACCTCTCAATATCTGGAAAAATACGCATTTTTGAAAAAAATATTCCATACAAAAGTTATAAAATTTTACATATAAAGGTCAGGTTTCAAATTTACTTACTACAAAATATATCAGATTACATAAACTTTTAGTAAATATTTTTTATGTAGCGATAATAGTCTAATGCTCTAGATGTATTCATAGCTATTATTCCATATATTTATCTCAACCAATATTCCAAGTTCTTCAAAGCATTTTTTAAATAAATTTTTGAATAGTAAACAGAATGCTATATGTAATAAAATTTAGCAATATATATCAGATCAGGAAAAGAAAAGCCTGAGATTGATTATTTATAAGATTTACAGAGAACATATTTTTCGAAGCAACCTCTAATAAATGTATGTAAACTACCTCTGTTACATATATTTTTCGATGATAACCATAAANTCTCTCTCTCTCTCTCTCTCCTCTCCTCTCTCTCTCTCTCTCTCTCTCTCCTTCTCTCTCTTCTCTCTCTCTCTCTTATCTTTCTTCTCTCTTCTCTCTCTCTCTCCTCTCTCTCTTCTCTTCTCTCTCTCCTCTCTCTCTCTCTCTCTCTCCTCTCTCTCTCTCTCTCTCTCTCTCTCTCTCTCTCTCTCTCCTCTCTCTCCTCTCTCCTCTCTCTCTTCTCTCTCTCTCTCTCTCCTCTCTCTCTCTCTCTCTCTCTCTCTCTCCTCTCTCTCTCTTCTCTCTCTCTCTCTCTCTCTCTCCTCCTCTCCTCTCTCCTCTCTCTCTCTCTCTCTCTCTTCTCTCCTCTCTCTCCTCTCTCTCTCTCTCTCTTCTCTCTCTCTCTCTCTCTCTCTCTCTCTCTCTTCTCTCTCTCTCTCTCTCTCTCTCTCTCTCTCTCTCTCTCTCTCTCTCTCTCTCTCCTCTCTCTCTCTCTCTCTCTCTCTCCTCTCTCTCTCTCTCTCTCTCTCCTCTCTCTCTCCTCTCTCTCTCTCCTCTCTCTCTCTCTCTTCTCTCTCTCTCTCTCTTCTCTCTCTTCTCTCTCTCTCTCTCTCTCTCTCTCTCTCTCTCTCTCTCTCTCTCTCTTCTCTCTCTCTCTCTCTCTCTCTCTCTCTCTCTCTCTCTCTTCTCTCTCTCTCTCTCTCTCTCTCTCTCTCTCTCTCTCTCTTCTCTCTCTCTCTCTCTCTCTCTCTCTCTCTCTCTCTCTCTCTCTCTTACTGTTTTCATTCATCTCCCATTCTCGTCCCTCATCCCTCTGTACACCCGGAGCAGCGGGGGGAATTTCTCCCGCGATAAAATCAAATCAAATCATCCGTCTCGATCCGCCAGCCGTCAGTTTCCTCATCAGCAGAGTCTCGTCTCTGCTCGCTCTCTCGAGCGAAGGGAGGATTGCGATTAATTGTCGAGAACAAGATCCAAAAAGGCGACCTGCGTCGTTGACTGTGTGACGTCAGCCGGCGAATGTACCGCGTGTATCCGAAAGTTATTCGGGAACACGACCCAATTCCCCGCTCGCTCGACCTAATCGGTCGTAAAGGTACCCGCGTTCATGTACCCGCGGCACGGCATCGGGGAGCGCGTTGGCTCGGATATGCCTATTAAATCACCCTGAGACACGGCGCCCGACTTATCGCGCACTCGCTCGCGTGCTTGCGATTTTGCGTTCGCAGCGACGTTCTAATTACACGCGCCCTCTGTCTTCTTTTTTTTCTGCCAATACGATATCGGGCTATAAATAGGGCCGTTCAGCCGTAAACTCCGAGCCGCCTGCCGTTCCTTTTGTCCCGAGAGCGAGAACAAATGCCTGAGGAGCTGTGAGAGAGTCGTTCCTCTCCACAAAGGAGGACAAATTCTCGGGGAGAGGAACGCCGGAGACGCCGACGGTGCGCCGGTCGTTCCTTCCCGCCGAATCGCCGCGGCGTCCTAGTTTCGCGAAATTCGCCGGCGACGTGTCGTACGCGCGGCTCCCCGCGGCGTATATCGCGTATACACGTGCATCAATATTTCCGCCATGTCGTCCGCCGTGTCGCGAAATTAATACGCGGCGGCCCCGCGGCGGGAAAGAGATGGAGCGCGCGACGTCGCTTGTGACGAGGACACGTTGAATTGCGCGGCGCGGCTTTGAGAACGAATGTTCTTTGGGAAAAAGAAAAGAAGAGGAAGTAAACGGCGCAAAGTTCGGGTCGAAAGTTTCGGAGTCTCTCGAGTCCCTCTGATGATTTTCTCGTTGCGCGACAAACGCGGCGTTAATAGCGCAGAGGAGGGCGGCCGTTCGCCGGACGGTGATCGCACGCCGACCGACGTCATCAGCGTCCTTTTACGCGCCAAAAGGGAATTATAGACTCTGCTGGAAAACGCATTCCCCGTGTTAACGCGGCGGAATCATACGCGCTTTATTTATAGTCGGCGCGTGCTCGATCCGGCAAATTCCGGGGATCTAAATAACGGCAGACGAGTAGTTTTCCCCGCTATTTCTATAATCTATCAGCACGACTCCGGCCGAGGCGGAGGCGGGGGCGGAGGCAGAGGGAGGAGGGAGCTTGATCATAGTGCTAATTAGTCTCGGATGTTTCGATGACGCTTCGGCAACCTCGCTGAAATTGCTCGGCCGCCGCGCCGCGCCGCTCCCGGCGAGTTTCATCGGACACCCCTAACGAACGCAACGTTCAATCACGGCCCGTTCTTTCTCTCCGCGGCTATTACCCACCTACGGCCGTCTATTGCTAACTAGCGTCCTCAAAACCCTCTCCCGGCCGGCGTGCGTCCACCGCGATTCATGGAACTTGATTGACAGCGGCCTCCGCTTTGATTCGACGCTCGGCCAAACGAGCAGCTCGCTTTCAGGGGGAATTACGGAGATGCGTCTATGTTAATTCCAATTAGGCGATTTCGCCCTCAGGGCCGTTGCGAAGAGTCGCGACGTTTCCCCCGCATGTCCATCCTCCGTCCTTCTGACGGAATCTTCATTTCCTCGCGCGTAGCTCTTGTTGGCCGGCCCGAAACTCACGGCGGGCTGCCGAAAAACGAGTTCAGGGGGTCAACCCTCGGCCATCGCGCCCGTTACCGCGATGTTTTTGCGATTCTCACCTTCCCTATTCTCTCTCTCTCTCTCTCTCTCTCTCTCGGGTTCACCCCTTCGCGTGATTACGTGCGTGCGTTCGCGAATGTAGAACAGCTCGGAACAGGATCACCGGTTGTAAATCGATGCAGCTCGCGCGCGTTCAGCCGGTAATCTAAAACGCAACCACCAGCCACCACCGACCGAAGCTGACCCATTTTCTGGAGGAGGGAGAGCAACGTTGCCCGGCGCGAGATAAATTTTCAAAGCCGCGTCCCCGTTCCGGCGTCCCGTTGTTTTCCGGCGACCTGGCAGCCCTTCCGACGTGAACACCCTGACCTACGACCTACTTTCGGCGCGTCCTCGTTCCGCCCTCCCCTTGCTATCGAAAGGACGCGCGGCGGCCATCAGCTGTTCCCGATGGAGGAGCGAGAGAGAGGGAGAGAGAGAGAGAGAGAGAGAGAGAGAGAGAGAGAGAGAGAGTGAGTGGGAGGGAGGCGGAGGGAAGAACGCGAGAAGCTCCGATGCATTTTTATGCGCCGCTGCGCATCCACATGTCCCGCTCCTCATCCACGTCCACGTTAACGCACATATTCCACCTTATTTCCTCCGGGAATATGCACGCAGGAGCTCGTCTTCGCTGCGCACCGACGAATTCTTCCGGTTCGCACCGTGAGATTTTATTCGATGATGACTTCCTCTCTCCCCCCCTCTCTCTCTTGTCTTCCTTTCCGTTTTGCTCGCGCATCTGCGATATCTCTGCGCGATACGAACCGTCTAATCGAGCGTTAAGCTCGAGAACACTGACCAAGCCCCGAATTCAGCGCTGCCAACAAGTCGCGCGCGCTCGCATTCTGCGGCTCGATTGCGGCAACGGTCTGCTTTCTAGATCACCGTTTTCCGATCCCCCCCAATATGCAGACGCTCGTGGCGCGTTTCAGCGCTGCGAAGCAACCCGGTCAGCCGTGACCAGCGATCCGCCATCGATTCGATTTCAGAGCTAGCTGCGAGTGATAATGATCATCGCGGTGTCTTCCGACATGGAAGAGCCGATAATCGTGCGACTGACACAGTCATTAAGCCTCGTCTCTCCTCGTGTTGCACTCAGGTATGATCACCGTGGTGGACGGCCAACCGGTTCTCGCGGATCCCCTTAAGGAGTGGAAGATCCTGGTGACCCATTACGGCGGACTGGCCGGCCTCGCCCTCGTCGGACTCCTCGTGGCGGCTATCCTCCCCTGCGCGGGTCTCTTCTTCTGTTGCTGCAGATGCGCGGGCCACTGCGGCGCCCGCAGTCAGCCCTTCGACAAGAAGCACGATCATTGCAGGAAGATTATGCTCAGCATCGTGCTGATCGGCGTCGCCACCATTCTGCTGTGAGTATCTCCCGCGGGAAGCGAATTTTCCGCCGAATTTGCGCGAGTCGTCCAACTTCGACATCTCCTGGGCTTTGCTCAACCCCTTGGTATGTTGCGCGTAGCCCAGCCAACGTACAGGGAAAACATCAGGGAAAACAGAGAATAACCGCGACGCATCGCCGCTCTCTTTCTCTTTATCGACGTACTCGCAATTGCGACTAATCTGGGAATTTCGAATGCGCGCTTCTCCCACGTAGAGGATTAACGAGCGCATCAATACCAGGTTGCACCTCGCACCCGAGAGCTGCATCGCGATGGATGGATAATTAACTTGGCGCAGACCTTCCTTGAAATGTAATTATCCCCTGTGCAATTTAATCTGCTCCCATCGGATGTGGTATTAATATTGGAGATATCAAACAATGTTAAACACGGCCTCGCGTAAAACCGAGCGACAATGAAATTCTATTGGCCATCGCCTCGCGTGTAACAGCGCGGGTAACGTTAATAACGATTAATTAATCGTTGCAGCTTCGGCGTGGTGTGCGCCTTTGTCACCAACGAGTACATGCAGGAGGGCACCAAAGAGCTTCCGCACAACGCCAAGACCAGCCTGAAGGACGTGAAGCTCTACTTGAGCTCCACGAAACAAGAGATTGAGAATCTGCTGAAGACCAACTGCGAGGAGCTAGAGGTCACGCTCAACAATATCCTCCAGGCCAGCGGCAAGATCGTCACCGAGCAGTTGGCGGAGTATTCCCACGCCGTCTCCCTGACGAATCTCAATGACATCGTCACCGGCCTGGAGTCGATCAGAGAGGACCTGCGGCTCATGAATAAGATAACGCAGGAACTGCGAATAAACGCCAGTCAATTGGACATCGGTAAGCGGCGCGTTCGAAGCCCCCGAACTCCCTCGAAATAATCGTCCTCACCGCGCGGGCGAGAATTGCATCACGTGCAAAGTGTAAAGAAACGATAATGGCTAGATCGAGCTGTTCGTCGTACTCGGAGCGTCCTTGATTTTTAAAGTCTACCCATATCGCGAGGAAATAAAGAAAATCTTTGAAAGCACTTGTCAATTTGCTCCTCCAGTTGTTCGCGGCGTCAAGAAGAATCTTCTCCACACGTTAGCCGCGTGCACGACCGACAAGTGCCAGCGAGTCCTGCACGACTACAAAGTGAATCAAATGTCAGTCCAAGTAGACTTCGATAAGGTAAGTAGCGGCGAGAGCCGTTTCTTATCTCGAGTACTACTTTAGTCAATTACTTATGACGAGCCTTTTCCTTGTTTACACGCAGTACATGGACCGTTACTTCCCGAAGGTATGACTTTATGGTGAAGGAATATTTTTCTCTTCTTTTACTATAACGACACATTTAAGGAATTTTCATATGCGCTCGGTCCTCGATATTAGCGAGGAGAAAAGTTTCCCTTCAAAAATTATCTTTCGAAAGAAACGAACGACGATCGCGATGTCCCGCGTTCGTGATTCTCGAATTTGGAAATATTATATCGAGGCCCAAACGCGCGCACAAGTACAAGATTGACGCTTAAATGTATCGAAACGGTAGATTTGTACAAGGCTTGCCTTGGCTTTCGTTTTTTGCTTCATAGGTAAGGCTTTGTAGAATAAATTCAGTAATGTCGCGAGTCTTACTGAGAGAGTAATTATACTTTTATAATTAATTATGTAATTTTGTACATGCAACATTGTGCAATGTTGTATCGCTTCACGAGTATTTATCTTTGCCGGGTAATTATATCGTCTAGATTGATAGAATTGAGACTTTTCGTTCCAATCTTTACATCATTGATATTCGATATTTTCTCATTCGTTAAGTCTCGAGAGAAGATTACATCGAGATGTACTGCATGCGTGATACACCGGTGCAAGCGCAATTACGATAAATTCCGACTTGCCGAAACGTTGATTATTCTGGCAATTTACCGGCACAACACGTGAACGTTAGTGTACGAAGAGAGATATTGTATAAAATCATTTGATTCCATGCTTGCCACAAATAGCTTCAGTCTGTAAGTTGTATAAGCGGAGGCATGCGATTCCCCCCTATCTTGTGTGCACTGTCGTTTCATACAAACATGATTACCTGCATCGTCCGATTGATTTTGCAAAGTAGTCTGCACGAGTATAGGAATGTCTGTATGTGTGTCGATGATGCGACACCATTCTACTAGAGGAACTTCCTTCTCTCTGTCAGCACAATGTTTTTCCCCTCGAGCACCTTTCCGTTCAATAGTGGAAATGAAAATGCGTTAGTGATTTCACATTGCAAACACAATCGAGGAAGATTTTTCCGAGAGGGAGACTCTCTTTTAATTAAGCACGAAAGTTTAGTGTGTTTTACTTTGAAAAGATGTATACGTGATATTTCTTCATTTTCTTATTCTTTCCAACACACATATGCGCACAATGCGCACATCTTTTCCTTCGTGTATCATCGAAACGTTAGCTGTCGCGAAATTCGATGAAGCCGGCATGTCTCTCACCCCCTCGGGAAACTGCATTTAGTAGCTCGAAGTAGTCGAATCAGTTAGCGGCGGAGTATCTCAATCCGTTTCTCTCATGTGTTGAATCTTCTTCCCCCGCAAACGACTCCATTTAATGCCAATTAAAAGCACGAGCGTGCGCATTTTTCAGCTGCCGGACGTTACGTTCGCGTTACATAACATCACCGTGCTGATGGAAGGCAACATAGTGTCGGAGGTGAGCCAAGGCAGAGAGTCGTTCCTGAAGATCCAGAAGGACATTCAGCACGCTGTGAATCAGACGATCCCCGTGGTCAGCGCGAGCATCCGACGTGCTTGTAACTTTCTAGCCAACATCGCCACCAACATGACTGCCCTCATCGACAGACTGAATGCCGACATAGATAGAGTTTATATTCCGCATTTAGACATCGCCCGGAACAACATAGATCAGTATTCGCCCTATAGGTTCGTGCGACGACCTCGGGATGAACTTTTCTCGAGACAGACGGAATAGCGAATTGGCACTAATGACCTTCGAACACGCGCTTCTTTCTAGATACTACCTCGGCCTGGGTATATCCGGCATTCTTCTGACTGTCTTGATGTGCTTGACGTGCGGCCTCCTCTGCGGCATTTGCGGAAAGCGCCCGGACGGATACGGGGACGATTGCTGTAACAAAGGGTCAGGTGCACGCTTTCTCATGATGTAGGTTGCGAAAGTCGGGAAACATGTAAGACAAAACGGCTCGCTACCGTCGTTTTTATTATCGCCGCTCGTGTTTAATCGCGCAGGGCCGTGTGGATCATCTTTCTCCTGACGAGTGTGTTGATGGTTATAACCGTGGCTCACATGGTAACCGGTGTTATGGCTCAGCGCGGTATCTGCGAGCCCCTGAAGAACCCGAAAGACAACAGAATGTTTGAGCTGGTCGACGAACTCGTGCAGATCAAGAGGATACTTTACCCGAAGAATCCGAAAGCGAATATCAATATGAGTTACATCGTTACGTAAGTGCAACGATTACGGATAAACCTCTGTGAAATTTGCGCATGCTTGATCGATCGATCGATCCTTTCGTTGCAGCAAGTGCCACGAAAACGAGACGCTCTACGACGTGTTGAATCTGAAGAATCTCTACGACGTGGAGAATCTACGCGATTACGCCGGTCGCTACGACATCAACGACACGATCCAACAGCTGCGACGTAAGATCAGCCTCTCCCCCGGCGTGGTGATTTTAAAAGACAGCGCGAGGTCCAAGCTGAACGACCTCGCGCAGAGTGGTCTCAGCGACATCAAGTTTTACCAGTATGCCGAGTTGCTCGCCGAAAACATCACAAACATCAACTTGGAACACCTCGCCAAGCAACTGCGCGAGGTTTCCGCCAAGTTGCCGGGCGGTCAAGAGGACATCAGGGACAGTCTCGAGAAGAACGCTCACGACTTGGAGCATTATCACAGAGACCTGGTCATGCCGATGGCCATGCTCAGCGAGCAACTGAGCGCCAATGCGCTGATGCTCCAAGAGAACATCAAGTTCAATCACAGCTCGATGGCGGAAGCTATTCACGACCTAGTGGACGAGGTCACCAAGGCGCAACAGTTTCTGAACAAAGACGGCCCGGAGTATGTTCAATATGTATGTATTATTCTTTTCTTTTCTATAGACTCTAGAGATTAGACGGCTGAACACGGCTAACAAGTACGATTGACACGACTTGACAGCTCGCGACCAGGTTTGGCAACGCGTTTCTACATCAGGTGGACAAGTTCCTCGATCATGTCATCTTAAAGTCCATCAAGGAGATCGGGAGGTGCGCTCCCGTTTCGAACGCTTACAACGCGACACTCGTGGCAGGATGCAATAAGGTCCTGGATCCATTCGTAAGTATCACGTTCCACTTGACATCGGGGGAGAATATACGCATCGATTTTCGACAAGTTGGCCCAGACTTGTTAATTACCTATCGCTGGACCTTGTTATACCTCCCTCTCTCTCTCTCTCTCTCTCTCTCTCTCTCTCTCTCTCTCTCTCTCTCTCTCTCTCTCTCTCTCTCTCTCTCTCTCTCTCTCTCTCTCTCCCCCTCTCTCCCTCTCTCCCTCTCCCCTTCTCCCTCTCCCTCTCCTTCTCCCTCTCCCTCTCCCTCTCCCTCTCCCTCTCCCTCTCCCTCTCTCGCTGCCTTTCTCGTTATAAATTCTCCGACCGCCGTGGAAGTTTCTCGATCGACAAGTGAATTCGCGTCGGAGACGATAACTGAAATATCGGGTGCGAGCGACGACGCGTTGCAAAATTGAGCGAACCCTGCCAAAAATTAATATTCATGCTCCTATTTGCATTTATACAGAACGGTTTCTGGGCGAGCGTCGGCTGGTGCTTGATCCTATTCATACCGACGATAGTGCTCTGCGTGAAGCTGAGCGCCCTGTACCAAAAGTCGGATCCGTATCCGGGGCCCCTCGTTGAAGCGTAAGTCTCCACTTGTTTCTCTCTGTAAATACGACAATCGCGACTGCTCTGCGAAACCTGAGAAACGTGTTTTTCATCGTGTTTTTCACTCCCTCACTCGATATACATGGTGCATGACGATATTTGAGGTACCAATGTGTCTCCAGTAGATCCATTGTCGATCGATATCGTGCATCGAAACACGGATTACCTATCGAATCGCCCATCAATCAATCCCCTATCCAGGTGAAACGAACGACCGATTGCGAATCTGAGAGAGGACGATAAGATAAAAGAGACAACGATACTTTTTCGTATTGAACTCTGAATCGAGACGGGACTCTTTCTTTTTTCCTCCGTCTCTCTTTACTTTGTCTCTGCGAATCTCAACGTACAACGAATCTCTGAGCACCCTTCATGTAGAAACTGTTGAAAGTCTTATTTTTTCCGGCTCTCGTAGTCATTCTCGAGCTTCCATATACCATGGCATGTACTTATTCGCGCTTTGTAACATCTTCTTTGATAGTCGGCATGTCCTTGTTCTTTTTTTCTTTTCTGTCTCATCTTTTTTTTGTATTTTTATTTACAACAAGACCCTTCGAGCCGGGAGATTCCGCTGGAATCTCCCGGTTCGAAAATTACCTCCCGACCTCGACCCTCAGGACCTCATGAATCGTACTGAATATCTTGTCCGTTCGAGGCGGAGAAAATTGTGTGATGAGTTCGTTTTCAGTTTATTTGTTCTTCCACTCTGTGAGGTGTGCGAATTAACAATCTTAACGTACAGTCAACGGGGAGATTACCTTGCCGCTTCAGTGATCCGCGTCGCGCCTGCTAAAGCAAGAAATTAAGTGCAGAAACTAGTATGTAAAAGTACGAGAGGAAAGTATGTTACTTTCGATATTGAAAGATAAACCGTCGTTTCCAGAGGTGTTGACCCCGATGACTATATCTTGAGCGCGCATTGTCTTCCCTCAAGAACTGTGCACAACGAGCCACGCGGCAAGAGATCGCGCAAAAGATTTGTCTCTCATTTTGAAACCGATCGGCCGTGTGCCCCCGGTACACCCCGCGCGGTAGCTTAGATTATGTTTAAAGTAGCCGTCTAATGTGTGGAATGGTTGTTGGAATCTAACCGCTAACACGCTCCGTTACAGTGAATATTTGTATGACGCGTACGCAGACAGGGATAACATACCCCTCGCCCAGTAAGTATACTACGACAAAGCCACAATGTGCTCTCGCATGTGCCTCCCTCACGTATTTTCTCTCTCTCTCTCTCTCTCTCTCTCTCTCTCTCTCCCTCGAGAGTGACACGCATGTACGTATCCATCAAGTTTATTTTATATCACCGGACCTTTGAATGCCGTGTGTAACTTGCTCGGAAAAAAGACATCCTGTACCTCCCTCGCTCCCTTCTAGAGTTTGCCGTGCGCGCAGTGACTCGATTTCCGGCGATCAGTCGCTTCTCTCACTTTTTCTTTGCCCACCAATTGACACCAAAACTACCGAATCGGCCTGCGACCTCTTGCAAAAAAATTACTCAAATTTGCACGAGGATGCACTTTATACTTTTAATAGTTGGATAAAAGTGGAGGAACCAAAGAGGCATTTTTATCCCTCGTATGAAGACACAGGAGGTTTCTCAGAAACCTCCTGAGAAGGTTTCCGTGAGTTCTGGTGTCAAAGGAGAGGAACTGAAGGAAGGAATCGCTGCGCGCCATTCGCAGGCGGAAAGTAACTTTGGCGTATCGTCTCCTTCGATATATCCACATTGGACGTTTTTCCATTGGCACTCTGATTTTTGTACGACTGCATGCGACCGCGCACCCCGCACGAGAAGATTTGAATCTTCTGCGCTGGCGTAGACACGTTTGTCGTGGGATACGTTGCGTGTTGAATTATGTTGAGCGTTTCGAGGTTGATTTCACGCTTATTCGACCACACACGCCGCATTACTAATTTGTCAGTTACTAATTTGGCTCAATTAATATTTTCTGTTTAAGAGCTTCGCTAGGAGATACACACATACTGACATACACACGTACGTGCGGATAGACGACGGCTTTTTTAGATCGAGCAAGTTCGCCACCGGCTGTAGTCGTCTAGAAAGTGTCTCCCGATCGTAAAGCTGCACGATACCGAACTCGCATAATGATTGAACACACGGCGGCGGCATGGCGAGCGCCTCCCCCTCCAGAGTGCCTCCAATTAATCGAGTAAATCGAAGCGAATAGAAGTGAATCAGCAAACGGGTCTTTCATCTGGAATCCGCTGCGGCTCCTGCTTCGAGTCAATCAATCCCCCACTCGACTTTATTCCGTCGCATTCAATCCGCCTCATCCGTCGTCGTCGCCGCCGCGGCGCAAACGGACGACTTGCGATGACACTGCAATCTGCCAGGCACCGATGCGCAATTCATCATTCTGCGGGTTCCCGTGCAGTCGCGGGGTTGATACACGCTAGTCAGAAAAGTGTTTCCCAAGTGATGTTTCCCGATACTCTGTGGAAATCCGCGGAGCCCGGAGAGACGCAATTAGCGGTCGCCGAGTGCTTTATCGAAAGAGATACTTGCCGCGATGAATGAAAGCCGCGATTCGCTCGACCGGGGACGGAGGCGTGCAAAAAGCGACATCGACGATTTTGCCAAGACGTCTCAACGGTCGTTGAAGACATCCAAGTTGCTACGATAATTATCGACGTGAACTTTTACCCACGGCGTCTCCTTCTCCCTCGAGTTTTCAAAGTCTTTCCAAAATATTCTCCTACTTCATTTGGGAAACACCGAACCGAAGGTTTAACCGACACACCGCAGCTTCTAGCGTACGAAACACGTACTCGACACGTGCAGATAGACACACACACACACACACATAGACACACACACACACACACACACACACACACTTGTTCTCTCTAACTCGCATGACGAGTGCTCGCGTCGTGTCCCCGGCACGAACCGTGTCGGCTTTCCTAAGACAAGGTTGCATTCTGCTTGCAGCGTGCACGACAAGAAGCACGTCTCCCACGGTAGACACCATCCGTCGGCGTACGTGGAGAGCTACGATGGACCCGCGGGATACAACGAGCGAGAGAGGATTGCCGACGCTCATCAAAGTACGTCGCACCATGACTCAAGATACTCCGACCTGGCGCCGAAGTGAGTAGAGGAGTCCTTATCGCGCTTCTCACCGGCCTCTCGTGTCCGTTAGCGTGAATCGCACGCAAACCTAGGAGATCGATTTCTGATTTTCCGACGATTTTCAACGACTCGTCGCACGTGTATTTGTATGCGTATATCGACCGTGTGATTGAGAAAACGGCGCGCTGAGTCGAGACGAGACGATGTTCAACGCGCGGTTACGTTGTAGCGTTTAAACGTGACGCATTGCGACGACGTTACCTACCCGGTAACGCCGCGCAATTCTCTCTCTCTCTCTCTCTCTCTCTCTCTCTCTCTCTCTCTCTCTCTCTCTCATCGGTTTCATCGGTCACGTCTTATTTCTTTACAGTTTCACCCTATCGTGGCGAAACCACGAACATACCGCCCCTTCCAAAACAGAACCTCACAATAAAGTCTTTAGCGTATCACTAGAGTCGCAGTAAGTTTGTATAAGCGGAGCAAGTGATCAGCATATAAAATGAGCTTTCTGTGAAACGTAACGCTTCCACCTTGTTTGAGTATATACCGAGCCAATCTGGCGGTCAGTATGATACCTCTTCTTCTCGTAATCTCTCCTCGCCCGACACGAGCTGGGTTCCCACTCATCGAATGTGATCTCGCGTACTGTCGCCGTGAGCTGACAAGCCCGGACGATCGATGTTGTGCGAGAGGCGGCTGTCCTCGGAGCGGGAGAGCGAGTTTGACGCATGCTGCGCGATCCTCTGAGGATCACGGAGCCGTGATCATCAGGCACTCTGCGCTCCTCCTGCGGACCGCCGCTGATCGACGGCACCGGTCGTTCCTCCGGTTTTGAGATTTTTAGCGCGCGAGGCGATCCGAGATATCCGACTGTTGAATGTAGTATCATGTTGACGCATGTTCATATGACGCAATCAGCCCCGATGGTCATGGATTTTTCTCCCGGTTATTTCCAGGTGAGTGGGAACCCTGCGGGGGGGTCAACCTCTCGCGTCTCTCGATACGCCTCTGCACGTAAGTCGCAAGACTATTGTTACCAAGTGTTACGCCGTTTCTCCTTCTCCTTGCGTGTTACGTTCGTAAGAGTACTGTCGGTTGACTGATTTGACCGATTGACTGATTGGCCATGTCGCGCGGCAGCCTTGCCGGAGAGACTAGGCTCGGCCCGAGTCGAGGTAACGGAAAGAAAAGAAAAATGTCTGTGAAAACATGATGGAACACGCGAGGCCAAGGGGTCCGAGTGCGTGTTCAGCTTCCTCCGTCGGTGGAGACGCTTGCCGTTAATCCGGAACGAGATGGCTCAGCCAGGACACTGGTCGATGCCGATGAACCTCCATGTTTCGGGCGATACTTGATCGTGACATTAATTTAGCTTGAAGACACCTCACACGACTTTCCGCCGCTGAGTAGCATGTCCACTCTCCGCTCCGTATCGTCTGGAAAGTATATTTTGTGCGATCGGAACACGCCCGTCAGACGCGTCTCTCCAGCCGAGAGTTCACAATCTTACTTTCATTTCGCTTGGGCGGCTGCTGTATCATATGTTAGTTCGCTAAGGCATTTTACTGTGGCAAAGGACGTATGTATATATATATATATATATATATATATATATAAAAGATGAGCGTTTAGCTCTTTCGCTAGCCGCAAGCCACCGAGACGTTTGCGCCGACTTTGTGGAGGTCCTCATGCCGAATCACAGGCAGCGAAAGGGTTAAGCGAATCGGTACGGCTCACTAGGAAATGTTTGAGCGCAAAGAACCTTGCCCGGAGACGAATACCTCGCGCGTATACCTGATACTGCGTAATCGTCGAGCTCACGAGTGCTATCGTTGCAGAAATTGGGACTTCCCCAACGGTGGACCGCCAAGGTATCAACCAGCTGCCGGGGCACCGCCTCCATTAAGTACCGAGTATGAACGACCGCCGCCCTATTACTATCCTGGACCGGGGTAAATATTACTCGTGTGTTTCTGAAATCCCGTAACCAACACTCTACCAGTTTTCGTCACCTGGTGTGGATTTTCTCAAATATCCGAGTGCATGGAGATTCAAAAGACTGCATGTACCGCAATGAGTAAGAATCAGTAAATAATCGAATATACCTGTAAACTACTGGACATTTTATCCCACCTCGTCGACCCTATAAATATCAAGAGCCTCTCTGAGCGAAAGCTGTTCTCTTCGCTGTTCTCTTCGGATAGTCGTGGTTATCAAAAAATAATTGTCAGTATTTATTTGTGGAAACTTGATTGATATTAATAATTAGTAATCAGTAAGTTGTTGGTAAAATGATAAATTCTGTGGTTGCAGGGATAGAAATTAGGAAACAAGTGCCGTGGCATGCACGAAAGCAGCGCTGAACAGTGTGGCGACTCACAGCCTCACGCGCAGTTACAAACGAACGCTCAAGAAGAGAGAGAAGTCGGGATGCAAGAGAGACTACGTGTAAATCCCTCGCGTTGTTCCTGAGCGTGCCACGGATTGTGCGAACACCAAAAGTAACTAAAGACCAAGTTTGATACACAGACTGAGATAGGCTAATGACCGTCTTCGCCAAGTGCTCCCTTTCGTTTGCCCTTCCTCGAGCGTAGCGTGCAATCAAATACGTATGCGCGAATCCTCCTTTTGTTCTCCGTAAAGATTTACAAAATACTCGTTCTTCTAGGCGAAACGTTCTTCTTCGCGCTCGCGTTTCGCCAGTCCCTCTGCTTTCGTTCGGAAATGTTCAGGTGTTTAGCTTCTTCAGACTCACTCGGTGACGACTACTTTGATCCGTCGAGCGGCAGACAAGTACGACGTGCTTGCACTTTGTCGCAGTCGCTGTCGGCCGACTCGTTTCGGATGGTTTCGACCGAGAGCCGCCGGTCGAAAGAGAAGGAAAATTCCTTTTGCTTTCGCGAAGAAGACACGCAAAGACTGTGCCGAATGTACCGCGAGAGCTCGCTCTCGCGCGTACTCGCATATCCACCGGTCAAGCTACGTAAATGCACAAAAAATACCAAACGCTGCCAATTCAGTGCGCCGTATTTTAGTCCGCGAAGAAGGGGGCCCGTCGATGTATCCGGAGTATCCTGCGGACCACCCGTTTCCAAGCACTGAGCAACAACACGCCATATGAAAATGCCAAACGAGAAATACACGTACGCGACTCGCGGCAGCACGCCGCGGCTCATCACACACACCTTGGATCTCGCTGGTCTCTAGCCGAGGACGAGAGACACCTTCAGAGAAAGAGAGAGAGAAAGTGAGTGAGTGAGTGAGGGAGGGAGGGAGGGAGGGAGGGAGGGAGAGAGAGAGAGAGAGTGAGTGAGTGAGTGAGGGAGGGAGGGAGGGAGGGAGGGAGGGAGGGAGGGAGAGAGAGAGAGAGAGAGAGAGAGAGAGAGAGAGAGAGAGAGAGAGAGAGAGGGAGAGAGAGAGAGAGAGAGAGAGAGAGAGAGAGAGAGAGAGAGAGAGAGAGAGAGAGAGAGAGAGAGAGAGAGAGAGAGAGAGAGAGAGAGAGAGAGAGGGAGGGAGGGAGGGAGGGAGGGAGGGAGGGAGGGAGGGAGAGAGAGAGAGAGAGAGAGAGAGAGAGAGAGAGAGAGAGAGAGAGAGGGGGGGGAGGGAGGGAGAGGGGGAGAGAGAGAGAGAGAGAGAGAGAGAGAGAGAGAGAGAGAGAGAGAGAGAGAGAGAGAGAGAGAGGAGAGAGAGAGAGAGAGAGAGAGAGAGAGGAGAGAGAGAGAGAGAGAGAGAGAGAGAGAGAGAGAGAGAGAGAGAGAGAGAGAGAGAGAGAGAGAGAGAGAGGAAGAATAAGCCGAGATCATTCTCTCGACCGCGCCGCGACGCCCACCGCGCGGCGCTTCTCCGACTCGCGGCGGAGAGAATTTCCCGGGAGCGACTGATGTGGCCGCTCCGCAGCCGCTGTTATAAATACTCTGTGTACATGGATTTTTAAGTAGCCATTTTCTTACTACTATCTTACTGTGTAACTTGTCGATATAAGGCGACCATTTCGATTCTTACACCGCGTAGACACGCTGCGCCGCCATGGGTACGCTCGCGCTTGTATAAACGGATCTACGCGCTGTATGAATCCTTCGATGTGTGTATTATCGCAGCATCATCGTCATTCATTGTCCGTCTCGGGTGCAGTAATTTCCCGACTTACACACACACACACACACACACACACACACACACACACACACACACATGCATACGCACGTGCGAACATTCCACGCTCGCATATGTTCACTTTTCACCCGTGTGAACGTGATGAATCCCCGAGAGGGTCTACACGGTACACGGGGCTCGCAAGCTCCTGATAGACACTGTTGTATCTGTATACTCTCGCGTAGATCCACCTACAATCGCGACTGCTTCTGTCTGGCAGAACTTGGCATCGGAGAAATTCAGGAAAGAGCATCATAAGCAATCGCGAATCATTTGCCCCGGCAACAATTCCAATCCCGAGGAGAGAAGCGCACTCTCGCTTATTTAGAAAATTCGCCGTTCAACGTCAACTTACACTCAACATACTGTTGCCAAAAAAAAAAAAAAGGAGAAGAGACGAGTATATACGAGGAAACTTTGCGAAATTGTCGCTGTGAAGGATATCGCAAAGGATGTTGCGGAGACGATGAGTAAGAACGGACCGACAACTGAGACAACGCCTTGGCGCTTGCCCTCGCGCGTGTACGCAAGTTGTCGTCGAGCGAAAAGCACACCGCGACGCGAACAGTGCGGGAGCGAGACTCCGTGTGTTCGACGGTTTCTCGTTGGACACTTGTTGTTCATAATAGAAGCCGCTTCGGGCTTCTGTCAGAGTTCCAACGCGCATGTTTCGCTTGGATACCCTTCGCGGACGTGTCTTGCATCACGGCCGTGTTGGAGCCCGTCGATCGCGCGGCTGCTGGCAATCGAAATTGCCGAAAAGTCACTTTATACCTTCCTCACGTGACGTGTCGAAGCGCGAGGATCGGTTGAACGTTACAAGGCGGAACGCACGAGCGTAAAATTGCGAAAGATGATGAGTGTATGAATGCGCGCGCGTGTGTGTATTGTATGCGTGAGAGAGAGAGAGAGAGAGAATGAACGAACGAGCAAGAGAGAGAATGAGTGAGTGAATGAAAGAGAGAGAGAGAGAGAGAGAGAGAGAGAGAGAGAATTGTCGCAATTTATAGCGAAGTAAAATTTTGCAAAAGTCCCCGCTGTATCATTACCGTATTTACACTAGTAGCGTAGTCTTACTGAATCTACATCTTAGTCTATCGACATTCGACACAACGTATGTACGCGTCATGCGATTCGGAGAAACAGACCGATGTGGTCCCTTTTCTTTCCTCTTTTTTTTCCCCCTAATCCTAATGAACGATACGCAGGAATCGCGAAGGCTCTTGCCGTGTCACCTAGGCGTGTCCTTCGGAGAACGAGTTTTGTTTCGTTAAGCGCACACGCACAAAGTATCCCAGGTGTAACGAGAGAGAGAGAGAGAGAGAGAGAGAGAGAGAGAGAGAGAGAGAGAGAGAGAGAGAGAGAGAGAGAGAGAGAGAGAGAGGGAGAGATAGGGAGGGAGAGGGAGAGAGGGAGAGGGGGGGGAGAGAGAGAGAGAGAGAGAGTCCGTAGCAGAGAGCGTGTTAGCACACCGAAAAATTCCACCGGCAAGATGCGAATCGCTGACAAATCATCCAAAAAGAGAAAAAATTCCCTGCTGCTATTTTTATAACGTATAACGACGACTGCGTATATGTGTGTAACGCGACAACTCGACACTCCTTTGTGTTTGCGAATCGACACGCCGAGTAGACACGGTAGACGAAGAGCTGCCACGGTCTTCTTTTTTCGCCTCTCTCTCGAAGGAGAAGGTGCGTGATGAAGTTTCGGAAGATTGGCAGAATCGAACTGGACGGAGGATGTTGAGGGAGAGAGATAGAGAGAGAGTCTCTCGCATCATAGAATCGCATCACTCTCTCGCCGTGTTCTGTGTTTGACCAGCGCAACGTTTTTTGACTCGAAAAGTTTCACTCTGTATGCGATCATTCTGCGCCAGGGTCTTTCGACGACAATTCTAATTCTAATGATATTTATTTCCGAGACGCTCTAAGAGATGTTCATAATCGAATCATGATAATAATAATGACTTCGTAGATCTTTCGTTCCAGTTCGACTCTCTATCAAATTTGACGAGGAGGAAATTGTACTTTCACCAGCATGACATTGTTATATTGAATGGTTAAATGTTAGTTTTTTTTTCTTTTTATATTTACTCTTGTCTGCTCAATTTCCCAGGATGCTCAGGACGAGTGGTGTCCTTTTCTCCCTCTCCTCCTGTGCCTGTCCCTTCCTTTCGTTTTGTTGTTTCACGCTGAATTTAATAGCCATTCCATCGGGAATATTTGTGATAAAACAGCTGTATAAAGCGCGGCTAGTCTCGTACGCGCGTTAAAATCATTGCAAGAATATCCGAAAATAATTCGCGTCTTAATCGATCGAGAATGCAAAACGTAAGAGAATGATACGCCATCGAATATGGTGTTTTTTGCAATTCACCGATTGTGTTTGTTAAAATTAATTATTATTATTATTACTATTACAATATTATTGATATTATATTATTATAAAAATGAGTGTACCACAGTTTAAATATATCTATTTTATATTAAATCGACAACGAGGCGCGTTGTATTCATTGGTGTTGCGAGTAAAAATAGAGATTCGTAAGTACTCATTGATGCGATTGCTCAGTTGATTATTGCGATTAGATGTCCCGGAAAAATAATTGCAGTGAGGCACTCGTGGACGGAATCGACAACGATGATATCCGGACAATATCAACAGCTCACTCGGTTGTCTTTTCCCCACTTGCGCATCACGCGTATTATCTGCTCCACTTGGGAGTTGGATGTGTTCTTCAAAAGCTGTATCACGTCCGGCAGAAGTTCCCTGCGCGAACAATAAACGAGTGATCCGTCAATCGTGAGTTTTCCACTCACGAGTCTGACGTTGATTTCGTATTTGACGTGATGCCATACACACGTACTTTGGTTGCTTCTCCGCTACTATGTACTGAAAAGTACCGCAACAGGCACCGCGCTTGCCCTCCCAGTGCTCGGAACTCGGATCCATACGTTCCAGCATATCAAAGGCCTTGGCGGCGTACCAGAACTCGCCAACCTCGTAACACGTGTTGGCGATCAGCTGGAGTAGGTTGAACGACTCCGTCGACGTGTCCATCTTCAGGTACAACTCCCAAGCTAGCTCAGCCTTCTTATTCATTATATCTGGGCGTGCAGACACACAAGAACCATTGTTAACTCTCTCGATATGACATCGGGACATCCACTGACTCTAGAGTTTATTTTCCGAGAGAATGATTTATGCAAAATTGATATACTTCATGATCTTCTTATGCTTTCTTAGAGATCTCCCAAGCAATGTACTTACAGCAGTAAGACAAGAGGCTGATGTAGATGTAGTCGTTTTTATACTTTTCGTTACGTATCATCAGGAAGGCCTCCTCCGCCTCCTTGAAGTAGCCAGCCGCGCTCTGCGCTTGGGCGTAGTTGAAGTTGAAGTTGTCCTGATTGGAGAAGTATGTCTTGATCGAGCTCAGGTACACCAGCACTTCATCGAATTGCCGATAGAGGAAGAAGCAGGAGGCCATGCATTGTCTGCCGGGTATGGTATCGCACTCCGACGCTGAAGAGCCCACTAGTTGAAAATATTGTTGCGCTGTTTTTATGCTGTCGCGCTGGAAACGTTCGCGATGAAACTTCAATGATCGCACGAGTCTCCAATGACACAGCCTGGCGATACATACAGAGTTGGTCTCTTGACCCATAACAGCGTTGACGATGCCTTTCAAGATGTATTCCTGCGGCACCGCGGGTTCCAGGTCCTTGATCAGGTCGTAGGCCGCTTTGACATCGTCTTGCTTCAAATAGTATATCACCAGATTCAGCCTGGCTTCCGGTATGACGTCCACCAAATTCGGCAAGATCTGCAGCGCGTTTTCGCCACCTCTAAACACCTGCACAGGGAGGTAATTGATATTCTGAGTCTGACGAGGCGGAATGGGACGGAGAATTTGGCACATACGACTGTGTTGTGGCGTATGAGATCGTGACCGAAACTGAAGGCACTCGAGATCTTTTCAATCAGCTGCTTCATCTCGGATTGCGCAGCGTTTCCGTCGTACAGGCGGAAATGATTGCATGCCTTCAGATTGATCGCGATCGCGCTGTCCGGATATTTTTGCAAGTAAACCTGAAGCACCTCCTGAGCGACATCGTAGTAATCCAGCTTGTAGTAGCACAGGGCTACGTACACGTTCAGAGCTAGATAATCCCTGCGAAGAAAGATACTCGTGACTCTGAGGAACTGTGTACTTTGTTAAATAGCGTAGAGTTGGCATTTCGATCTTTGTAAACGGCTGATTAAGAGGATTAGCAGGAACCGTTGTTGTAAGGACTTGGAAGAGGGCGAGAAAGGAGCGACAGGTACCTGCAAGTTTTCAGCCGAATAAGGAAAGACACGTCAGAGTCTTTGGAGCGACGTTTCTTGGACTTTTTCTTTCTAAGCTTGCTGCATGAGTGATTGTGCAAAAACAGTAAGAACGTATCAACGGATAATCTAGCAAATTCTCGTCTCAGTGAGGTATCAGTGAGGTAAAAGCGACATTATCCCAACCTGTTGTCCAGCAAGATCCTCTTATACACGTCGATAGCTTCCTGATAATGAGCCCTGAGGTAATGGATAGACGCTAAGCTGAGCTGATCCTCTATGACATCCTGCAGCATCTGATGGTACTCCTTCAACTTGGACTCGTTGCCCATCTTGTGGGCCAAGTGGAACAGCAGCCTGGTCCTCAGCTTGCTGTCCGCTGCTTCCTCCAGAATCTTTTGTGACTCGGGATACATGCCCAGGTAAAAGTAGCAACATGCCAGATTCGTCCGTACATCCGGCGGCACATAGTCTCTCTTCTTCAGGTTCTCGTACACCGTAACGGCGCGCTTGTAGTCACCCAAGTGAAACGCACAGTATCCCATCCACAGGTCGGACTCCAGACTGCCGCCGGTGCTGCTGTTGAATTCCAGCAGCGTCAAGGCTCCGGTGTAGTCACGTTTCTCCAGGAATTCCTCTAATTTTGGTATTTCCTTACGCGACGTCGACTTCCGGACGCCCTCCGACGAAGCCGGCTTGGCCCTCGACAGGATCTATCGCAGGGATGCATTCATATCAGAGTGTGATGGTGAAATGTTAATTTGTCTTTCTTTGTCAGCGTCAATATTCTCTCTTCTACGTATAAGTTGTACAAGTGGAGAGATGGAAATATATAATAATGTCTTACCATTTTGTGTTGCGTCTTACACGCACGTGGCCTTATCGATTTATTATTTTAGCAGGCGCGTTGGCATGTGACAACCGTGGCATAACAAACGGCAAGCGCTGCGATCGCCCGCGAAGAATATACGGCAACGTTTACAGCAGTCTGTTCCTCGTAATAAAACTCGAATCGATCTTCAGGTGACGTCACACGCCACAAAGATCGGATTTATTTAGAATGAATTGCGAGACCAACGTGATTGATGAACTCATCTACAGTGTCTTCGTTTTATTCTCAAGAGTACAAAGAGCGAGCTTATCGTTAAATTTTACACAGCCACGTTAAGAAATAAGTTAGGATTATACTGAAACGAGGAGACAGTCTGTGTTAGCTTTTGGCCACTTTGGCAAACTGTACAACCATAGGCTTGTCTTTTAATATGTATCCGTTGGTTTCGTCGAGGGCCATTTGCGCCTGTACGTTATTCTGCAACGTGATGAAAGCCTGTCCCTTCATCCTGCCCTCCTGCATAAGTCGCATGTCGTATCTGAAACATGGAAAGCATACAATAGCGTTATACGATGTGGAATATTAGACACCGCGATAGAGACATCATTCAGAAACACTCACTCGTTCTCTGCGTCTTTCAGACCCGCGATAACATATCTCTGGTAAATATAATGTAGGTCCTTGGCCTCCACTTGTTTCGCGAGATTCTTTATGTAGAGACGGTTGGAAGGTTTGCCCGGATGATAATTCTTGAACACAGGGAGCACCCTCTGATCGTTGGCAGAAATTCTGTTGGCTTCCAACTCCTCTGTGGTTATAAACTTGTTCTTTGGCTTTTCCACACTCGCCTCGGTGTCCTTTGCGTCTTCGGTAGACTTGGTAGCTGGGAATATCAGGCCGAATCCGCCGTCTACCGCTACAGCGCTGTCTTGAGAGGTGATGGATGCTGCGTCTAAGGATTTGTCCAGGGTCTTCAGTTCGATCTTGAGATTCTTAGCTTCCCCGAGTTGAACCGATTCGAACATATCTTCCGGTCTGAAGACTTTTTGCGTGGACGAAGGTGCCGCGATGTTTTTGGCGGGATTGACGAACTTTGGGATTTTCAAACGCCTCGTAGGCTGCGGCCGTTTCCTCTTAACAGGGATGATTACCGCTGGCCTTGTGTTGTCTTCTCTGTCTGATTCTATTTCAGATTCCTCTTCTTCTTCTTCTTCTTCCTCTCCATTCACACGTTCATACAACGCATCTAAATGAGAGAAAAATTATTATTACATTCTTTTTTTGTATAAACTTGATAAATAAATTATATGACTAACTTTTAACCAACATCTCTCACCGGTAATTTTGTTGCCAAAGATATTTCTGTATTTCTCCATGTTGTATACTTCCTTCAGCATGGGAAACTCTTCTTCCAATTCCTCAAAAGGAGGCGGTAAGTTCATTTTATTCATTAAATGCAACACCTATGAATACAGGTGACAGTTGTAATGCCATCAATAAAGTTTACATTTACATTGCATCTTAAAACAACACCTGGAGACAAGAATGCTATACCTGTGTATAAAAGGTTGGCTCCTTCAACAGTTGTATAGCTATCCTCATCAGTGTATTCCTCGTGGGTGCTATATACTTGTATCTTATATTTGGCGGAGGTGGTTGACTAAACACATGATTCATGGTCCAACTGTTCAGCTTCCTTTGGAAGGCCTGGAGATCGGCTTTACTAGTAGTTTTAGCTTTAACATCACTGTCTGCAGGTGGTTCATTCTGAGGCTCCAGTTCTGAAAGCTCGGCTGGTATCGACTTTTTGGCATACTCGACCGACAGATATCGTCCTTTAACATTTAACTGATGCAAATGCAGCAGTGCTTCTGTCGCCAATTCCTGGGATGCAAACTTGGCAAAGGTGACTGTGTACTTGCTGGACCGTCGTAGCGTCCTGGTTTTTATCGCACCATATCTTTGTAGCAACGAATTGCGCCGACTGTCGGACAATTGCGGGGGCAGATGAAGGATCCTCAAAGTGTCGCACGCCTGAAAATACAAACGGTCAACATCTTTGTGTGTATGACAATTTGAAACGATAGAGGGTAGGTTAGGAAACAAAACTCGATTTCAATTTCCACTGAATGACTGAAACGGAAGTCGCTCTCAGCACATGTGCATTTACGCGTAAAACATTACCGGTATCACTTCCGATGACATTTTTTCCTGTAGCTGCATCCTTATTAACAGTTCCTGACACAAGTCGGACACGTACGAGGTGTAAACAAGCGGAAATGAAGAATACCTAGACCCGCCGGATGACAAGTTCAGTGGAGAAACTCTGGAGGTAAAGGATTCGACCAATCGCAAATCTAGAAGAATGCGAAATAATTCGGACAAGGTTTCGCCTCTAGATTTACTTTCGGGCCAGTACAAACGCATGCACACAAGCCGGTTTGAATCGGTGTAGTTAGTATTGCGCTACTTCGTGACGCGGTTTTGATATGCGTCGATCGTGCGGACACTCGTAAAATCGTGAAATTTCCAACAAGACGCTCGGTTTCTCGCACAAATGGGACGCGATTTGACGCACATGTGATCTCGAGGGAGCCGTGAACAAATTTTGTCGGTACGTTAATGTCGATGAGATGCTAGCCGCCACCAACTTCGACGCGTAGTTCACTCCGATCCTGCCGCGCTTGTTTAGCTATCAACGCCAACGCGTTCAACTTTGCGACCGAGCGTCGCTTCCTCAGAGACTCGTGTTTCACATCGGGGAATCACCGTCGCTTCTTCCTCCGTCATTGACTGCGACAAATTTTGGAATCATGTCCGACAAGTTGGCCGAAACCACAGAGGATGACAATTCCGTTACGATGCTCGATGTTCTCCAGGTCGAGAATCAGCTCGAGGAAGACGCGTACGCAGTTTTGGGTGCCTCCGACGACCAAAACTGTACTTACAACAAGGTTGTATGTCGATTAACATTTTCTCGTCTTCTCACTGTAACATCGCTCGTTCTCGTTGGAACGCCGTTTCATGGCTGTCCATCACCAGCAGGTGTCAGTAGTTTTGTTGAAACGTTGCTTTTCGGCAGGGATACATGAGGCAGGCTCTGTACGCGTGCAAGACTTGCTCAAACAAGACTCGAGCTGCGGTCTGCTTGGCATGTAGTTTTCATTGCCACGAGGGACATGAACTTGTGGAGTTGTATACAAAACGGCACTTTAGATGTGACTGTGGAAGCTCCAAATTTGAGGGCAAACAGTGTAATTTAGAGAAGGTATCAAGTTTCCCAAGTGTAATGCTACATGTTTTGTACAAAATTACACTGTAACATTCTTGTCCTCCTTTGCAGCAAAAATCTGCTACCAATGGTGAAAACAAGTACAATCAAAATTTTGATGGAGTTTATTGTACCTGTGCGCGACCATATCCTGATCCCGAGGGTGATGATGATGAAATGTTGCAGTGTATAATTTGTGAAGATTGGTATCATTCAAAGGTATAGTTGGTTAATTTTATAAAGCAACTTTAGCAATCAGTAGAAAATCTCTTGCAAGTAAAACTCTTGTCCAGTCAGATTTCAGTCTAGCTCAAATGATTTCTCTTCTCATAAAAATGTCTATGTAGCTGCAATTGTTTTCCCTTTTTAGCATCTGGAGGTTGATAGCGTGCCAGCTGAAGATACATACGACGAAGTAATCTGTGCACGTTGTATGAGAGAGCACAATTTTCTCTGGAGATATGCAGCCAAGTATGCAGGTAAATCCTTAGATTCCTATTGTGTATGATATCATACAACAGTTGTGAATTCTTATTAGAAACTTGGATATGATCAGTTTTAGGCAAGTCAGATGCAATAGCCGACAACAAAATCGAAGAGGTAGATGTGTGCGAGCTCCCGAAAGGATGCCAGATGCCGAAAGTCGGCCCTGTGAATACCAAGGGAAGCTGTTTTTGGAAGCAGGGTTGGAGGACCTCGCTGTGCACTTGCGACGAATGCAAATCAGTAATGTATCGAATATACAAGTTCAAACGATTCCTTTGTAAATAAATTTATTGTTTCTTATTTGAACGGTATTTCTTCTACAGATACATTGAATTCCTTGTGGAGGATTTGTATTCTGCGTATAATTTCTCACTGCAGTTTTTTCGGATTGCTTGCAGGTGTATAGTGCAAAAGATGTTGCATTTTTACTCGACCCGAAGGACAGTGTGCAAGCGTACGAGGAAGCAGGCAAAATGAACAAGAAGGAATCGCAGTACGAGAAAGGTATGAAAGCTTTGGCGAGTTTGGAACACGTGCAACAGTTGACGGCAATCGAAGGTGAGATTGTAAAGTTGAAACTTCTATCATATATTGGTTTAAAAGATTTGCTCTTATGAACGATGAGTATTATATACATTGGTATCGCGTACCGCTAACATGAAATTGTTTAAAAATATTTAGAATATAACAATATGAAGGAACGACTCATGCAATATCTACAAAAGTTTGCGCAAAACAAAAAGGTCGTGCGCGAAGAGGATATCAAGGAGTTCTTTTCAGGAATGGAATCGAGAAAGCGTCCGAGAGTAGTAGTGCCAACATATTGTCGCTGAAGCTTACGTTTCAATATCATATTAATCATCGCTATCTAATAATTATACAAATAAGGATAAGCACTTTTTAGTATGTTTTTATGGCAAGCCATCATACATCTCGGTTCTTAACATTTCTCTGTTTAACTTTTTATCCGTATGTCACTGCATCACGCTTGCGGTATTTTAACAATTTAATAATAATGATACGTAATTAAACGAATAGAAATACAAGAGATAAATATAATGAGAATGTAAATTTGCAATTATAGTACATGTCAAGGACATAAATAAAAATATCCACAATTTCTTTTGCAATCTTTATGTATATATTGATTCTTATTTTCGGTGGAATGTTAAATATATTTTAATAGCCAATATACAATTATCGTATATCTCTCTCAATTTATCGTTTGAGTATCATCAAAAATTAATTACGCGATAAAGGATACTTTGGATGACAAAAAATAGACGATATTCAACGAGTTCTAGCTTCCACAAAAATAATTTTAATAAAATGATTTGAAAGGATTTTCAAAGTATCTAGTTTCCAACGATATTGACAAATATATGGTACACTTATTTTGTACACAATGTTGTATGAATATAAATAGCAATATGTAAAGTGTCAAAACTTTTTATGATATTTATCGAGCTGTACCACTTGAAATAAACATTACGCACAAATAATATTTACCTCGTTCGAAAGCGTAAACTAGCGTCCCCTTTATATATCTACGGATTGTAATACGATTATTTTTTGTTTAAAGTGCAACGTGTTTAAAAATGAGGAAACATTTTCAGGCGCTTCCACAGTGATCGTAGAAAGTCAAGCAAGATGTCATTTTCTTTGTCTCGACGAGCACTACCGAATGTAATTCTAAAAGTTCACCAAAAATGTTTGGTTTAATTTTTACTAAATTTTATGGAGGCTGATAAATTGCGATTCGAAGCTTGGTTAAATTTTACAGAAGTCGGTAAGTTGTGGTTTGAGTCTCAGCTAAATTTTATGGAGGTTGGTAACTTGTGGATTAAGTCTCAGCTAAAAATCAGTGGCCCGGTGGCCGCTCTCAGGATCCTCTCTGCACATAATTTTATTTAGAATACAGTCAGCTGTAATAGGGTGCAATGAAGCGGTCCGGTTATTGCATCAGATTGTACCATCACTGTCTTATTACACTGCGTGCAGTTCCGAATTAAATCGATCATCGACTGCTCTTTCACCCGCACCTCGTACGCTTTGTGCAGAAAAATAGTTCCACTACGGAAAGAAACGAATCACCGCAATTGGTCGACTCAGCTTCTCGAGTATCCCGCTTGCGGCGCTGTTTGCATTCGTATTTAGTTATGGCGCCGTTTACGGCTTGTGTAGTGTGCGAGAAATCGTCGCTCGTGATTTCTCATGATTTTGACTCGCCGTAGTTGAGTTTCGTGCTTTAAATCGTTACCGGGAGTGCCGAAAGTAAGTTTCGCGCGTGTGTTACGGCGAAATGACGTTTGTTCCGCCGCGCGAAGTAAAGTGAGATGAATCATCGGAATGCCGAGGAAAGTTCAGCGCGCTAGCTGCCTAAAGGCAACTCGGTTTTCACGTTGCGAAACTTCGTTTTCGACTCGTCAGCCGAGTCTCGGCCACCAATTATCGTTAAACATCGAGGTATGGCACGAGCTGTCGTTAAATATTCGCTGAAAATATGCATTGTTCGTCGGGAGGGTCGAGTTTCGGGAAATTTTTCTGTTAGCCGACTTCTTGGAATATTTCAAACGGAACGGACGGTTTCGAACAGAATATTTTGATTGGCTAGTACACTAGTGATTCATCGCACACATTGAAAATCGCGACCGTTGCATTGCAACGCTTAGAACGTGAATTCCAAAAGCCAACCGAGCGTATTTTCCGCGATTTTGAATTATCAAAGACGAATATCGGCGTGTATTGTTTCGTCGAGAGTACCGAAAGCAAATTTCGTACATTTGTCATGGCGAAGTATCGTTAAGTAGTTGAAAGTAAGTAATTAACGAAACCGGATCGTCGGGAGTGCCGAGTGAAATTACACGCATTTGTTGCTTAAGATTTGTGTTGTGATCAACTGTTGTGAAAAAATGGCCTGTTATTGTGTAAAGTTAAATTTAGTGTTTGTATTGTAAAAAATATTAAGTGCCCGAACATATATTTTGCAAGGAGGAACATCAGGAATCATCGAGGGGTAAGTTTATTTTATGTACATCACGCTATAACAATTTGGAATTGCTTATCTCGCGATATTTTTTATCTTGCGATGAAAAAATTATCCAATGAAAAAATTAATGAGGCTGATCATGGTTGTGAGACGGAACATAAAAATCTTATCTAAATATTTTGAAACAATACATTTAATGTTTATTGATACTTTCATTCTTAATAGTTCATCACATTTTACATCTTAATCGTATTTTATTAACCCATTCTGAATGAGCAAACGAAATATTACGTTCCACCCGAAAGCATCAATTTTTCAACGAGCCCGCTCGCAGGTCTCTACGATTCTTAGAACTCACTGCCTATGTGAATGCCTCGTCGATTCTTGGAACTCACGCCGCCGCGCACTTATCCAAACAACGTGTCGTAACGAACCAAAATATTTACTTCCCCAAATTTTTACTTACTTTCTACGCTATCCGAAAAGCTATATTAATCTGGATTTTAGGAAAATTAGTCATACTGCTTTAAAATTAAATAGCATCATTTCTTTCGATTAGCATAAATATTTCCATGGTGTATATATTGATCTATCATTTTTCTCTGCATTAATTTCAACATTTCGGACTTCATAATTCTGTAACGTTGGACTGATTTTGTATCTGCGGATATCGTCGTTATTTCCAATTTAGATTAGTTTCTTATTGCACACGATTTATTAATTTATACTTGGTAATTCATCATTTTTACATCGATCAATCTAGATATACCGGCTTCAAATTCTCCATAACGCGTACAGTCGTGGACAGAAAGGTTGTCAGGTTTTTTATAGTGAGTTTCGGAACGTATTCTGTCTTGACGAGAATGAGAGTTTCTGCTCTGACACGCCTGCGCAGTCATCGATTGAAGAATGGAGAAATCACATACTAACAAAGATTTAAAATTTCTTACCATGCTCTGCTTATATTCTTCTTATTTTCCTTCGTATTTGCGATAATATTGGATGCCCGAGCCTCTTTTTATATGTCAAATTTATTGTTGATATATTTTCTTAAATGACATATTTAAATGACATATTTTCTCTATTCTTCAATCGATGACTGCGCAGGCGTGTCAGAGCAGAAGCTTTCATGTTCGTCAAGACAGAATACGTTCCGAAATTCATTATAAAACACCTGACAACCTTTCTGTCCACGACTGTACGCGCACGTTGTTGCAATTTGTGAAGATCTTAGTTATTTTGGATCTAGATTAAAACTTTATCACTCATATTTCGTTAATTAATATTTCGTAACCTGTCATTTTCGAACCTGTCATTTTTTAGTATTTCGTGACTTCTAATTCCGCAACGCGTAATCGCAGCTCGATGCGGTTTCCGAGGATCATAGTTATTTTGAATCTTGATTAAAACCTTATCACCCATATTTCGATAATTAATATTTCGTGACAGGTCATTTCCGAGCCTGTCACTTTTCCATCTTTCGTGGCCTGTAACTCCGAAACGCTTAATCGCATTTCGACACGGTTGGCTCGGATCATCTTTATTTTGAACCTAGATTAATATCTTATCGCAAATAATTTTGCAGCTTATACCCGGTGTCTCGTCATTTTCGCATCGGTCGATTTTGATTTATCGGCTTCAATTTCTCGATAACGCGTAGGCGCACGTCATTGCAATTTATGAGAATCTCAATTATTTTGGTCTTAGTTATTTAGTCTAGATTAAAACCTTATCACTCATATTTCGTTAATTAATACACTGCTCAAAAGAATTGTGGCATAGATAATTTATTGCCGAAAATTGGCCAACTTTGACTGGCGATTACTTCGCGAAAAATTATTATAAACTAATGATTTTTTTTCAAAATGAAGCTTGAAGTCTCTACTTTAAGAATGTATTTCTATTCGGGGGCAAAAATATCATACGAAACCGTGGAAAATACGGAGAGAGTTTGTTTGCCGATGCTAGGAATGTTGGCTGTGGTCAAAACACGAGCCAGGAACTGAAAAACATGCGCGCGTGCTTGTGTGTGTCAATAAACACTTTTGCCGTTGCTCCACTATGATTTCCAGTCATTTAATCCGCCAGCCGGTACTTGATCCGAAGGTTAAAAACAACGATATTTTTGAAGGGCTGTAACTTTGCAAAAAAAGTTGTAGCGACTCCATTTATTTTCAAATTGAAGGGGAACATTTGAACTTTATGACGATGCAAACGGTGTCCCCGAAAAAAATTGTCCATGTCCGTACATTCCGTCAAACTTTGCAATTTTCAGTATACCAAACATGCCTTCAAATGTCAGGGATTACAGGGATAGGGGTGCATCGCATGCAAAAGATAGAGACACGAGTACATTCTTAAAGTAGAGACTTCAAGCTTTATTTTGAAAAAAATAATCATCAGTTTACAACAATTTTTCACGAAGTAATCGCCAGTCAAAGTTGGCCAATTTTCGGCAATAAATAATCTATGCTATAATTCTTCTGAGCAGTGTATTTGATGACTCGTCATTTCTGGGCCTGTCCCTTTTAAAATTTTCGTGACATCTAACTTCAAAACGTGCAATCACAACTCGATGCGATTTGCTCGAATCATCCTTATTTCGAATCTAGATTAACCCTTCATTTTCATATTGATTTCGAAAAAAATGAAAAAATTGAATATAAAAATTATAAAAATAACCACCCCTATTAGCGTCATTTTATGTCATTGCTAGAAGTTTTCCGCACGGTCTCGAAATATTTCTTCCCGAATTGCGGGCAGTGCGTTGCACGAAAGATAAGAAGGTGAAGAGGCAAGACAGGAGAGATTTTGGCTTAGCGATAAAATGTGCCGCTGACTCGCCTCGTGCCTCCTCCTGCCGCGCGTACGTTCATCAGCAGTGCGACAAAGACGGAAAGCGATTGATCGTTTATGCTTGTCTAATTTACTATTTCTTGTAAGGGGAAGTAGAGTGAGCGAGAACCGTATACGCTTTATCGTCAGGATGGATGTAGTGTGCACACATTTTCTTAGGGGGCGCGTCGAATTTCGACAGAAAAGCGTCCCGGCGTAATCGGCCCGGTGGCCGCTTTCAGGTTTCTCTCTGTCCGTATGAACAGAGAGGAAACTGAAAGCGGCCAACACGGCGTTT